TCACGGCAACCTTTAGGAATGCGAACGAAACCGGATGAAAACTTTAATACTCTAGACAATTTTGCTGCTTCTATTTTGTAATTGCTACTAGAGTTTTATCGTCAAAATACTTGTGACATAACACTATTCCTACGTACTTCCTCCATCTCATATTATAAATCATTTGACTTTTTATAATTAAACTTTTAAAGTTTGACTAAGTTTATAGAAAAATATAGTAGTATTTTCAACACAAAACAAACATATTATCAAAATATATTACTTTAATATTTTATATATTGTTAATTTTTTTGTAAATCTAGTCAAATTTAACAAAGTTTGATTAGGAAAAAAATCAAACGACTTATAATATGAAATGGGGATGTATTAATTACCAGGGAAAGAACAAAAGTATGATGGTGGACCCAACCAGGATTAAACCCCTGTGATAGTAAGTGTATGTGCACTTTTTGTTAGGATTTCTATGAGAGGATTTACGACTGTGGTCTCCATGTCTTAAAACTTGTGTTGGGGCATGTACAAACGTGTGATGTTTGGTGTATGGCCGCTAAATGGTGGTGGGTTGTGGTTGGTATTAATGGCGAGGACAATTGACCATAAAAGTTTTATTCATAAATTATTTTTCGTTTGCAACTATGCCGTTTGACTTATTCCACACATAAATTATTTTTCGTTTGCAAATATGCCGTTTGCCTTATTCCACAAATAAGCGAAACAATAGGGTGGGAAGAAGGGAGAGGATGGCGATAAGGCGCGGCAATGGCGGCCAGGGAAGGAGGGATAAATAATTAGAACAATTACTCCAAGTCTAAAAGAGCTATAGAAATCTCAGAGCAAATCACTGTTCCCCCCTGAAAACCACTGTTCCACCCATTGGATAAACAGGCGAAATAGCGGACAAAATCACTACTAGCTGTTCCAAAATGACTGAACCTGTGGCTAAAAACTGCACCCAAATTAAGACAATGTAGTTTCCATGGGACCAACTAGCTGACAACAGCAAGTGTTAAGCCTAGAGACAGTGGGTTTGGTTGGAACTTTCAACACTTGTGTGGTTGATCGATAGCAGCAGCAGCAGTCTCTGGTCCATGCAAACGCTAGCTTGGACTCGATCCTTTGACAGATAGTACCGAACCTAACGACACACATGATTGTTGCTGCTGTGTTTGCTGCTGGCTTTGTTGTTGTTGTTGTTGTTGGTCCAACGCCACAACACCAAACCTAACAAACAAATTAACTTTTAGGAGGAGTAGTAGTCTTTTACTGTTGATGATGAATGCATGTTTTGGAAGGAGGGTGATCGATCTGATGATATGATAATATGCATGCATGATGATGATCAGAGAAATTCAGAGCTGGCTAGCTGCAGAAGATGCATGCATGCGGCCGGACTGCAGAGGAGTGTAGTAGTGACGATCGGACTACGGTTGAACATCATGCGTCGACAAATTCAAATCCAAAACCAAATTTTGCACCGCTTTCTTGGACCTTTGTGGTAGTAGTTCTTGCTTGAATTGTGCTTCTGTTCGTTCTAGAAGAGGGTCTGAGTTGTTCTAGAAGGCATTGATCATTTGGTGATCAGGTTAACTATTGGTAGCTTTATTATTCTAATGTAAAAGTTTGGTATCATTTAGCGAGTCCAAACTTTCGATGTGACTGGGTGAAAAAATTGATCTAAACAAGTCCAGAATCAGTATGTCAACCGCCTATTGAATTGCATTGCTATGCTAAACAAAATGAAACTTTAGCATTTACATACGTACGTGCCTCCTTAGTTTATTATCCATGTTGATCGTCCTTTTTTTTTTATGTCACTGTAATTTTGTAGGGGACTTTTCCGGCAAAAATTTTGTAGGGGGCTGATTGTTCATTTGTATCTATGCATATCATAGGAGTGAGAGGTTGTTCCAACAAGAATTGAGAAGAGTAAACAAATGGTTATATTTTTTTTTGTCTAAATATTGTGAGAAAACGAGTATAGTTCATCTTTCTGGTCCCTTGATGAACAGAGAACTCTAATGTTGGCAAAGTTTAACTTCAACATTTCTTGATCAATCTAGCGACTTTGCTTGTTGGCAAAGTTTAGTAGGCCATAAAAAGTTTGTTGATGATCATGTGCTCTACGACAATATTACTATGGCTAGTGGATATAATCATTTGTCGTACTATAGCGGGTTAAGAGCTCGACAACAAAATAACTTTAACCAAATATTGAATCGCTCGTCACATTTTCATTTCTAGAGCTCCACGACAATAATACTTTAACCAAATTCCAAAAATGCTTAGCACAATTTAGGCAAACTAGCTGGACAATTGACGAGGATATATTTTTATCAGAAACTTGATTTATTGGCGCAAATACAACTTTAATATTTTCTTGGCCACACACCATTGATTTTTTTTTTGGTAATAAAGTGCCACATGACCTTATTACTTTGAACTTGTCACACACTTGAGTCTTCCAAACATTAAACGATAATAATACTTTGAACCGAGCGCTACAGTTTTTAATTTCATGGAACAAGTGTTACTTCAATATTTTCTTGATCAAATTAACTAGCTAGAGGCGCCTCTCTTTGGCAAAGTTCAGTGTGCCATAAAAAATGTTTCTTAGTGATCCAGTGTTCTATTCCAATATAATTTTGGCCCGTTGCTAAAATTATTTCATGATCCCACAACGAAATTGCCGGTCGCTAATTTTTTTAATAGTAGATATTAAAAGCTCCACACAATAATATTGCTTTAGCCAGTTTCTAGAAGTACATGATATTATCAGTCTAGCTAGAGGCTTAAATGATTTATCGCTCTATAGCAAATTTCAAGAGCTCTATATATAATATTACTTCAGCGCTTTAGCCAGAGGCTAGAACCATTGGTCACATTATGGTAGATTTCAAGGCCTCAATAACAATATTACTTTAGTCGGTTTCTAGAGGTACATGTAAATATTACTCTAACGAGAGACTAGAATCATTTATCGCACTATTAAAAAATTTCAAGAGCTCCACAGCAATATTATTTTAGTCGATTTTTAGAGCTACACAATAATATTACTATAGCTAGAGGCTAGAATCATTTGTCGCACTATAACAAATTTCAAGAGCTCCACAACAATGTTATTTTAGTCATTTTTTAGAGCTACACAAAAATATTACTATAGCCAGAGGTTAGAATCATTTTTCACACTATAGCAGACTTCAAGAGCTCCACAATAATATAACTTTAGTCAGTTTTTAGAGCTACACGACAATATCACTCTAGCCAGAGGCTAGATTTTTTACTATAGCAGATTTCAAGGCCTCCACAACAATATTACTTTAATCTGTTTCTATAAGTACATGATAATATCACTCTAGCCGGAGGCTAGAATCATTTATCGCACATTAGCATATTTCAAGATCACATCCACAACAAAAATTCATTTGTCGCCCTACAACAGAATTCAAGAGCTCCATGACAAATTACTTTAATCAAATGCCAAAAATCGCTCTTCACAGTTCGGTCGGTTCGTAGAGCTCCATGACAAGATTTACTTTAATCTGACACCAAAAATGCTCACCACATATTAGGTAGGATTACCGACAAACACATTGTGTTTTCCCAATGCATCCATGACTTAATTCCGTGACACAAATGCAACTCAAATGTTTTTCTTGACCACAAACTATCAAAAAAAAAAGGTTTAGAGCTGCACGACAATATTACTCTAGCCAAAGGCTAGAATCGTTTGTCGCATTATAGCAGATTTCAAGCGCTCAACAACAATGTAACTTTGGTCAGTTTTTAGTGCTACACGATGATATCACTACTCTAGCTAGAGGCTAGAATCATTTATCGCACTACAGCAGATTTCAAGACCTCCACAACAATATCACTTTAGGATGTGTTCTGGAGAAGGGGTTGGGAACCTCTCCCACGTGCATGAAAAATAGATAGCTTATTAACATATGATTAATTAAATGTTAAGTAAATAATGTTAAAAAAGAATAAATAAGATTTTTACACAACTTTCTATAGTTTTTTGTTCAAGAAACACAATGTTTAGCAGTTTAGAAAGAGTAGCGCGCGTAGAAAACGAGGGAGTGGGAAATAAGAACATTGACTTCTGAATGCATCCTTTAGTCTATTTCTAGAGGTACGCGACAATATCACTCTAGCTGAAGGCCATAATCATTTGTCGTACTATAGCATATTTCAATATCTCCTCAACAATATCACTTTAATCGACTAGAATCATTTGTCGCACTATAGTAGATTTCAAGAGCTTCACAACAATACGAACATTAGTCGGTTTCTAGAGACACACGAAAATATTACTATGCTCTAACAGGAGGATAAAAATCATTTGTCGCACTATACCAGATTTCAAGAACTCCATGCAAAATCACTCTAACCAAACGCTAGAAATCGCTCGTCACACATCAGTCCCGGTTCCTAAAGCTACGCAACATTATTACTTTAATCCGGTACAAAAATACTCCCTCACACTAACCAAACGTGCTCCAAACATCCACGAACTCACCTCGATTACTAGGCGCAATTTGCCAACTCGATCGCGCCATTAAAATTTGCACGGTAGAAGAGGAGTAGTAGTTGTCACGTTGGCACGCACGAGTGGATGGATGCACGAGCGTACGTCGCCTCGAAATGGATCCACGGTCACACACACTGGCTGGCACCGTCGCAGGCACGTGGACTGAACACCGGGCCCCACATTCTGACACACCCGCATCTTTTGAATATCTCTATATGTATTTTTTATATTTATACAGTAGTATATATAAAAAGAGAAAAAGGAAAATAAAAAAAGTGGGAAAGCCAAGCTGGTAGTGTGACGACTGAGGAACTAGCTAGATCCAAACGCCGCGCAAAAAAAGAAAAAAGAAAAAAGAAAAAAAATGCCGGTCAAAGTGTCAAACCTGCCACCCCCACGTGGGCCCCACCCCCACCTCCCCCCTTCCCTCTTATACCCACCTCCCCCCACACCACACGCCATTATCTCCCACCTCCACCTCCACCCCACCACCACCACCACCTCGCCGCCGACGTCGCCGCCGCCGCAGAAGCCATGAAGCAGTGGAGGTCGCTCGTCGCGCTGCACTCCTCGGCGCCCTCCTCCTGCTTCCCGCAGCCGCCCGCGCCGTCGCCGTGCCCCTCCCCGCCGCGGGAGGAGGAGGAGGAGGAGGAGGAGGAGAAGCGGGAGGCGGCGGCGGTGAGGCTGGTGGGGAGCGACGGGAAGGTGAGGACGTACAGGAGGCCGGTGACGGCGAGGGAGCTGATGCAGCAGCACCCGCGGCACCTGGTGTGCCGCTCCGACGCGCTGCTCATCGGGGAGAAGATCCCGGCGGTGGCGCCCGGCGAGGTGCTCGAGCCGGGCCACGCCTACTTCCTCCTCCCCGCCCACCTGTTCCACTCCGTCCTCTCCTTCGTCTCCCTCGCCTCCTCCCTCCTCCTCCTCCTCTCCGCCTCCTCCGCCTCCGCCGCCAAGAAGCAGCAGCAGCGGCCGTTCGAGCTCCTCCGCACCGCGTCCGGCACGCTCCAGATCAAGTTCTCCGACGACTTCCTCCTCGCCGCCGACGACAAGGTCGCCGACCTCGCCGCCGCCGCCACCAACCCCCCCGTGCTGCGCGGGGACAAGAAGCTGGAGAAGGAGTACGAGGAGCTCGTCGGCTACAGCAAGGCGCGGCGGTGGTCGCCCAAGCTGGACACCATCCAAGAAGTCGTCGCCGCCGCCGCCGGTGACACCGCCACCGCCGCCGCCACCGCCACCACCACCAGAAGATCCTCCAAAGGTCGAGGCCTCCCCTTCCTCGGCAGGCTCGGCAGCCGCCGCCGGCGAGAGGCCGCCGCCGCCACCACCACCACCACCCTCGTCTGCGGCAATGGCGGCGCGGTGGCGTGCTCCGGCTAGGCTAAAATCAATTAATTAGTCTCCGGGAGGGTAATTAACGGGGGTGATTAAGATTAAGCTCGATCCGAGTTCAGTTTAGGCGATGATGATTCAGCTGCAGCTTCGACTGCAGCTGTGTCCGCATTTGTAATTACAGAAAAGTTTTGGTGCTAATTTGTACATGGTTTTTCGTTGCATTCTGATCAGAAAAAAGAAAAGAAGAAAAAAAAAAGCAAGGCTGCGTGGTGGCAGGCAAAATTTCAACTCACTTTTGCTTTCCCCTTTTTTCAGTTTCTGGTTTGTTTAAACTTTAAACTGCTTCCTCCCCACATTTCACATCCTGTGTGCGCGCCCATCGAGTCCAGCAATACAGTGGTATCCAAATTTCCAAAACTGATTACAAACAATTTTGTAGGCATGAATACCATAATTTTCATAGCAAATTCAAATTCCACTTGGCATAAACCATTCAAAAATATTTGGATCGTTCAGTGCACACACTCACTCACACCGAGATCTCTGCAGCTAAACCGCACGTAGCACAAGCCTTGGTCAAACTGCAAATGCTGTGCATAATTCAAGGCACGCACGCACGCACGAATTTTCAGGTGCCGTTTTACCCAAGCAAAGTCAGACGGAATAAATCGAATTCGAATACAAATCCAGTCAAAAATGCTCATCATGACGGTCGTTAGGCCAAAAAGAAAAGAAAAAAGTACGTAGAAAAAAAAAAGTCCAAATCACTATGGCGTATATTACGCGTTATGCCGTTATTAACCGGTGTTCCAAGCGGATCAAAACAGTGAAAGATTCGAATATGCCTCTACGCATTACGTCATCTTGTTCCTGATTAGTGCTAAGTATCTTTGTTAGCTAAGGTAATTAGTAGTAACTTTTGACAGTTGTTGTTAAGTCAGTAATTATTTCGGTCAGTTACTGTACACTGAAACGCATGTGTGGCATGTGACGCGTGCGTTTGTTTCCATGAGAGATGTCGAGATGGGAGCAGTTTGACCGGGGTCAAAATTAAAAGGCAAGATTGAATTGAAAAGAGAAAAAGAAAATTAAAAGAAAGAGGAGAGCACGTTCTCCGAGGTTAAAAAAAGATTGAGAAATTGGGGGCATTATACTTCCAGCTCACTGATCCTAGCTCCCGGCTCCGATTCAGATCCAAATCCGGCGCGCTAATCACACACTCTAATTAAGCACTAATCCACTTTGATTAGGGCTTATCTAATGGCAGTAGCCGGTCAAAGCCGTGACACTATCATGATCCCCTTTGCTTTTATTTTGATTAGAATTTGGTGTGTGTGTGTGAGAGAGATGAGAATGCCGGCAGGTGGGTCCCAGTCCACAGCCTGTCAATGTTGAGACTAATGGAGTAAGTGTGAGCTAGAGAGGGCCTATTGCTATATTTTGTTATGCAATGACAATTGGATCTAGGGCCCACCGCCGGTGAGTTTTGATATGAAACTTTGTGAAATTAGAGGAGGTGCTATATATTAATATTGGTATAGTATTAGTTTTTATTTTCGTCGGAGCTGGTTAACATTGTGGGTAGTCTCATGCGATCGTATTAATTTCATGTGAATTTTCAAGACGCCGAGGCTCTTTGCTCTATTTTGATATTCTTTTTATCTGTTTATTATGATGGCAGAGTTGTAATCTCCCGTGTCATTTAATATAATATGTCCGGTTTCAATAACGAGTATTGACTAATATTTACACGTGGCGACTTGAGTGTGGTGGTGTTTGTTTGACGGGAAAAAACCGGGAATCATGTGCACTAATTGAGTGTGCTAATAAGCTGGTCAAAGTTGGTACTCTAGATGCAGGGTAAGACTTCTCCTTTGCTTGCCTTGAACTCCTTCATTATTATCAGTAGGAAATTGAGCAAGTAGCTACTATTGCTAGCGGTGGGACATTAGCTAAGTTATGAGCTAGCCATCGATGGCAGGTGGGCTCAGGGTGTAAAATGTAATTAAGGTCTTGTTTAAAGGAATTGTAGATCACACGAAGTAGATGGTAAGTAGCCAACTGATAAGAAAAAAAAAAGGGTTTTGAAGAACTTATGGTTTTTTTTCTTCTATATAATCGTTCATTTCTAGATTTTTCAACCATTAGATTTTACGACCTAAAGTAAAATTTAGGCAATATGAGAGAATTGGGATTCAATGGATGTAGCTATTAAAAACTCCTAAACATGTCCTATATAAGGATCAGATTGAAAAAAAATTGACATTTTTCATAAAAAAATATGAGCATGTTGAAAATTGAATACGAAACTTTAGGATTAAAACCACACCCCCTTTATCACTGTACTATCGGGCATCTTCTCATAGCACTTCCTATATATGTCGGTGTGAGAGTGTTAATCAATTAACACAAGCATCACAAATTTCGTTTGAACACAGTACCTAACTGTACACGTGGCAGTATCACTACTCAAAATTAAGATGGGAATTAAAATAAAACAATTAAGCATGTGGGCTCTAGACTATATAATGGCCTGTTTTTGCTTAGAAAGGTAGCAATGCAAGCAGTGCTACTCGCTTAGATGTCAGCACACACACAGTTTTGACCTGATGGTCAAAGATGGGGCCTTGGATCCGGGCTTCCAGCCACCATTATCTGCTCCATCACCCACATTTTTTTAATTTTAATTAATTAATTAATTAAGTGTAGGTTATAGTGTACTCCTACTAACGTCAGAGGAGAGTATCAACTTGTGCAATATACAACAGCTAGCACATCGTCTAATTAGCTGTACTATCCGCATAGTCAATCAGTAGAAAGGCCATGCTGGAGTATTATATACAGATCTGTGATATTATCTTGGTAGCCAGTATGTAATTATATGAGATCTCTATGTATATATAGACTAAAGAGACACTCATATGCATGATTTCTTACATGATGTGCAAACAAAAAACCAGGTGAAGCTTATATGATTAAGCTAGCTAGGTAGATCTACTTTGCTTGGATTTTTTATTTAGGAGTATTGCTTGTTGAGTTGTGGAGTATAAAACTACACCAATTTTGAAATTTAATATATAACTTCAAAATTACTAACTTGGTTTTCTTTCCTTAATTTATAATCACTCAGGTTTGCTTTGGAGTTTGGACCACTAATTAAAGGTAGAAATGTAAAGACCTTATCCTGAAATTATTTTTCGTTGCATTGGTTACGTATACTCCCTCCTTTTCTTTCTATAAGGTGTATTATAAAATCGAAATATCATTAAAAATATAATTCTATTGGAACAATTTTTACATACCAAATATATATATTCATAGTTTGAGTAATTAGTTTTGAATTTGTAACTTTATAATATTCCTTATATAAAAATAGTTGGAGTATATAACTTGTACTTACAGTAATTAATGCCAGCGGAATAGTAAGAAAAATATGCTCCTACAGTGTATGCTAGTCATCATATCAGAACAGGATAAGATAAAATGCCAGCTGACAAGATTTTGCTGGTATATCCATCCTTCACAGGAGTATTTTACTACACACGTACTGTGATGTTACTCTCAGGTTAAGGTAATTAATCCAGTGCCAGGGTAATTAACCAAGGATGAAGGGGACAATGCAAGGTGTGGATTGCTTGCCACGTGTACCGCATTCATGGTCAATGGTGGGAAAGGGTTTAACTGGGGACAAGGTAGCGGTCAGAACGGGGTTTGTCCCAGAGAGGATAGGCGACCAATCAGCGAGCAACACGTATACGTTTATCTCTCTACCTTTCCCTTCTTGGTTTCGGGCTAATTAACGGAAGAGGAATGCAGGATTTAACATGTGCACGTTCAGATAGTCAAAGTCAATTACTCCCTTCATTCTAAAGGCACGACTGCTTTTTCTTTTTAGGTTGTTTTATAATACAAGATGTATAGATACATGTAATTAACTAACGCATCTCTCTCCTAAATTCGTTATTTAGAGTCTTGATCCTTAAGATCTATAATCAGGGCCGTTGGTAAGTGTGTCCACCGAATATAGCCCCTACAAATTAAGACCTTATTTTTATTCTTTTTAATATATTGTAATGTGTTCCAAAGAGATATCCCGTATTATAGTAGTCATTAATTCATTCATTCGTACCACCCTTGAGAAAATTATGATAAACTATTTGGTTCATTTCTGCACCCTTGAGAAACTTATGATAAACCATTTGGTTCATTTCTGCACCAGAGAAACCATCCTGATTTGGTTTAGACTCGTGACGACGATGTTTAAAATGCCCCCTGTGAGGTTGAAAGTTGAAACTCTGGTCTCTGCCTCTCTGGAGAAGAGACAACCAGCGGTAAGCCGGAGGAGCGCACTGCTGATGCTGCGAGATTAGACAACAGATTGATGGATATGCATCCATCCATTCATCCATCGGTGGAGTTTGTGCGCGTGCGCTTACACGAATAGACTGGATATTAGTACGACACGACACATGGACCGTGCCATTGTTTTGCACTCCATGGATAGGTACGATACTTCTCGATTACTGCCCCGTCATAAAATAGTTGTTTGAATTTTTTTAGTCAAAATTCTTTTAAGTTTGATCTAATTTATAGAGAAAATTATACGACACCGTCAAACTAGTTTTATTAAATTTAATATTAAATATATTTTGATATAATGTTTGTTTTGTATTTAAAGTATTACTATAGCTATAAACTTGCTCAAACTTATAAAAAATTTAACAAAGAAAAAAAAATCAAACAACTTAGGACATAAAACAAAAAACAAAGAAAGTAGCAATAAAAGATCATATATGATATATTTTAGTCATGGAAATCTGAACAGGAATCGCTCGCGCGCGTGTGCGTACAATGCTATGATAGTGATAGGCGTGCGTGCTCTCCTTCAGCTCCTGCTCCCCACATGGCCATGGTGGTGGATGATGCTCCTTCAGCTCCAGCAACCACTACTCACCACCAGTGGCCTAGATGCAGCTACAAACTGCGCCCGTGCTGTGCCATCGTTTGACCGAGACCGACCAAATTTTTTGTCAACTAGTAAAAAGCATAACCACGAGCTCCAGTTAATTAACTGGTCTACTCCTCCTGCACTTCCTACCGATCGAGTAATTGTCGATTACTAGTGCTGTCATCCCTTAACTGATGACTAACTAAGCAAGATGATTAAACAACGTGTACGTGGTGACTTCGTTAATATCAAGATATGTCGGTCTAATCTTCTGGAGATGTTTATAGGGGTAGGATTTACGTGTTTGTGTTCACAAGGACGATGAGTGTGACCGTGTTATTAGCGTCTACATTTACACTGTGTTTTTTTTTTTAAAAAAGTCAATGTGTCTGTTGCTCACGCCATTGCACCGTTTTGGGCTGCTCCATGGCCTCGGTTGGATTCTACATTGAAGGAGGAGGAGGAGGCCTTCAAGTGTTGAGCCCAAAGGCAGCAAGGGCCAGAAATTTTGGGCCTATATTGGGCCTAATTTACCAGATAAGGTCGTCACTCCCTTAGTTGATAAAGTCCGCTTGAGATACCTCGCTGTGGGTCAACTTTCATTAGCATCAATCGTAAAATATGGTACAAAGCCACCCACTACTCTCAAAACCAGTGTTAATCATGTCCCTCGATAATTTGGACAGTGATTTTGTTCTTTATCCTACGTGACATACTCCATCCGTCTTTAAAATATTTGACGCCGTTAACTTTTTTAAACATGTTATACCATTCGTTTTATTCAAAAACTTTTGTGAAATATGTAAAACTGTATGTACAGAAAAAAGTCAACGAGTATTAACTAGGGGTGTGTTTGGTTCACGGTCATGTATGGATAGGATATGGCCATCCATATTTTGTTGGATATAGCGATCCAATTTTTTGTTTGGTTTGTATGGATATGACAATCCAATTTTTTGTTTGGTTTGTATGGATATGACGATCCAATTTCTTATTTGATTGGAGGGATATAGCATGGATGGGAAAAGCCAAAAGTTAATGGGACCCATTTGTCATATATATATTTTTTAACAAAATATAATCATCCGAGATCTTATTTTAAAGATTTAATTATAAAAAATATAATGGTGTAATCAAATCATAAATTAGATAAACGGTTTAGGAGAAAAAATTATTTGGAGCTTGCTTAACAGGAAATCAAACCAACCACAGCCAATCGGAATAGAACACATCACCCAATCCAAAACTGGATGGCTTCATCCAGCCAAATCAGCCGGATGCACTCATCCAGCATATTGAGAGAATATTCCCTATTCCAGGCTACCCCATCTACCCGGCCCTCCAACCAAACACTACAAAAACTCGAGCGGCCATCTCCCATCCACATCCAGGCTCATCTATCCAACCAAACACACCCTAGGTCTTTGTGGCTACCTGGTGCTTACAGAGCTACTGTCAAGGAAAAAAAAGGGTGGGACCTATGTAGGGCCTTGACCAATTCAACCCAGGGCAGCAAGGCCAGGAGTTTTGGGCCTCTAATGGGCCACTTGGTTCCATCCTCTGCCGAGGTTCACCTAGTCAGACATAGCGGCCTAATATAGAGGAGTAATTTTCAGGTTCCTCTGCTGGTTAGGGTGTGTTCGGAGAGAAGATTGTAGAAATAAGTTCACCGGAGGTCCCTTGACTTAAGGGCGAGATTTTTCTAAAAGGCCTTGTTTGGTTACACCCGGATTTAATCCGGGCTAGTAATGATAAGTGTAGTAAGAAATTTATGATAGATACAATGATAGACCGGGATTTATTCCGAGCTGGGAACCAATTTACTCATGATAGGGACAATAAGAGACCAGGAATCAACCCACTAGTCAAGAGTTGTGGAACTAATTCGGATGTTTTGTTGTATCTATCATGAGTAAATTGGTTCCCGGTCTGGAATAAATCCTAGTCTCTTATTGTATCTATCATAAATTTCTTACTATACTTGTCATTCCCGGCCCGGATTGAATCTGGGCGTAACCGAACAAAGCCGAAATATGTACCCCTAAACTCATACAAACTGTGTACTTAAGGTCCTAAGGCAGTATATATGGGTGGTTTCGCTCACGTGGCATCCTAGTCAGAAAAAAAAAAGTACGTGGGGGCCCACATGTCAGCTGCACATCTTTTTTCTTCTTCTCCTTCTTTTCTCTCTTCTCTCTTCTCTTTTCTCTCTTCTCTCTTCTCTTCTTCAGTGAGGGAGGCCAGCGGCCGACGGGCGGAGCAGTGATGGGCGGGCGGCGGGAGAGCGCGGCGGCGGGCCTGCGAGGAAGCGGAGCGGCGGCGGGCAAGCGCGGTGGGGGAGTGGGGAGAGACAAAGCGAGACCGGAGGAGGGAGAGAGAGAGAGAGGAGGCCGACTGGCACCGGCGTTATCGCCCGGTTGCGCGACGACGATCCTGGCCAGGTCGAGGTGCGGGTAGCGGTGGAGCACGGCGCACTGTGCACCTCATGTCCTCCCTGTCACGCTCGTACGCATCTCGCGCCTTCTCCGCCAGCGCGCCCGCCGCCACCGCCTTCGTCTCGGCGAGCTCGAGCTTGGCCTTCACGTTCCACAGCTCCTCTAGCAACGCGTCCGCCTCTGCGCCGGCGTCGCGCTCCCACGCTCTCATGTAGTAGGTTGAGGCGATGACGTCGCCTGTTTTGGCAATGACGAGCTCGCTCTCCTGCGATGGTGTCACGATGCCCTGCACAGCTGCGTCACCACCTTCCACTCGCCTTCCGCCGTGGCGGCACTATCTGGCAGCAAACCACCAGTTCGCCGCCTGCGGCCGTGCTCGCCTTTTGCCAGCCGCCCCGCTATCGCGCTCGCCCGTCGCTGCTCTGCCGCTGTCGCCTACCTGCTTCGCCTTCCGCTCGCTTCCGACGAAGGGAAGAAGCACGACAAGGACGGGGGTTGCTCTGACCGCCGCCTCGTAGTGGTAGACAGTGTGGGTGGCGGAGACGCAGGAGCCGGCGGGAGGCACGACGGCGAACTCATCCGCCGCGCTCCGCTCGCCGCCCGCCGCCGCTCCGCTGCCACACAGGCCCGCCGCCGTGCTCGCCCGCCAGCCGTCGGCCTCCCTCGCTGAAGAAGAGAAGAGAGAAAAGAGAAGAGGAGAAGAAAAAAAAATTACAGCTGACATATGGGTCCCACGTACTTTTTTAATTTTTTTGTTGATTAGGATGCCACGTCAGCGAAACCACTCATATATATTGCCACATGACCTTGAGTGCACGGTTTGTATAAGTTTAGGGGTATACATTTCTCGCTATCAAGTTGAGAGTCCTCCGTTGAACTTATTCCAAGATCATGTAGTAAGCAACACAACTGGTTAGGGAATAAACACACGTGAAAAAAGAGAGAGTAGAAGTTAGGTCATCTAATTGTCTTAAACAGTTTAGCAACGAGGACGCACAGTCTAGTAGTTTGAATAGAAATTAAGACTATAACCTTAAAAACTAGATTTATTTGGCTTTTTTACAGAAAATTTTATATAATAATCTTGTTTTTGAAAAAAAAAAATCATCTACCCATACACAGCATTACAATAAGCCCATATGCAGCAGCTCCGTCGAAAGGATGATGACTTTTCCTTTACACAAGAAGAGATTTTTACAGCTTAACATGGAGAAGAAGAAAAAAATCCAGAAACAAACTAAACATTCACAATTGATCTTGCTCAAAACAACCCGACATGCTCACAAATCCACAAGATCAATTCATTGTTCCCGTCCTGGCGATTAAAGCATTCACAGTTAATTTACAGATCGAATCCAACTCTTTCCTTTTCTTTTGATGAAAAGCAGAATTCAATTCAACTTGTGAATTTGTGATATACGCAAAGCTCAAATCAATTTAGCAGAATTCATCATCTACAAGTAGCGAGTCCCGGGTTGGGGGTACAAGCTGTACGGCGCTCCCGCCGCTTCTTGATCCGGCAACCACGCCGCCGGCGGGGGGTAGCACGGCGCGCCGGGCGGCGGCGGACGCGGCGACATGTACGACGGCAGCGCACGGTCCACCGAGCGATCGCAGCATGGCGCCGATCTTGGCAGTGGTGGTGGATACTGCGATGAGGCTGACTCCGGCGGCGGCGGTGGCGGGTAGGTGCTCGTCGGAGAGGGGAAACTGGGCGCCGGGTAGCCTGCCGGCGGTGGCGGGTAGAAGTTGCTCGGTGGTGGCGGCGGGTAGCCGGCGATGTACTGCGACGGAGGAGGCGGCGGCGGGTAGCTGCTGTTTGGTGCGAAGCTTTGCGTCACGTGAGGCGGCGGCGGCGGCGGCGGTGGAGGAGGAGGGTAGCTGCTCGGCGGCGGCGGTGGGTACAGTGAAGCTGACGGTGTCGCGGACAGCGATGGCAGCGGCGGGTAGCTTGCCATCGCCGGAGGCGGATACGGCGCACCCGACGTCGTCGTCGTCGTCGACGTCGGCGGTGGCGCGCAGCAAGAGGAGGAGATTGGAGTTGGATGATCCACCTGCGGCTGCTGGTACGCGCCGCCGCCGGTGACGGCGAAGGTGAAGCTGAGCTTGCCGTTCGCCTTGCCGTCGGGGGCGCACACCTGGTAGCTCACGTGCCTCGGCGCCGCCGCCGCGCCGTCGCCGCCGGCGACGGCGAGGTCTGCCAGCGGCACGGACACCTTGCCGACGAGCTTGCTCCCGAGCAGCGGCACCTGCGCCTTCACCTCGAACTGCAGCATACCATCCGCGGCGGCGGGGAGGTCGAAGGCGAAGACGGCGGCGTCCCAGTCCGGGTTCTCCCCGCCGTCGGGGTCGCCGCTCGTCTTCTCCCGGCGGCCGGCGAGCGACACGGCGGCGTAGAGCGGCGGCTTCTGGAAGGGGACGAACGCCTTGACGCCCCTGCAGGAGATGGACCTGATGGTGACCCGCCGGCCGCCGCCGCCGCCGCCGGCGGTCGACATGGCCTCCGAGAAAAATCTTTCTTGGAAAGAATTGGGATTTTGAGCTTGGAGATGGATCGATTTGTGGCTGATGGGATCTTGGTGGCTAAAGATTTGACCTTGTGCTCTTTTGTTTATTTGGATGATATTGGATCTAGGTGCAATCAATCAATTGGGGAGCAGATAGTATATGCTGTTACTGTGTTCTTTGGCTGCCTGATTTTTAACTGTTCCTAATATTTTTTTTTACTTTCATTTCTGGATGCAATAAACAGGAGGCAAGTGTGTTTGTGTGTGTGATATATATTTGCATTTGTAATTATATAAAAAAGCACTCAAAATGCTGCAGTCTCTCTCAAAGAAATCAAGTTCGTTCAGTACTATTTTAGACCCCACAAAGCAAGAAAAATTGTCTGATAATGCAGTTGGTTGTCTAATTTTCTTCTTGCTTTAGTCATTGCACCACCTGTCTCTTTCTTCTTTTCCCCAATTCCACACTCATTTGATATTTGGTAGCCGTACTATGTTGTGACTGTGAGAGGCCACCATACATACACTATATTAAAGCAACATTTGCCAATAAGAGTAGAAGCTGTTTTACCAGGAAATTGGATAAGCTGAAACCCATCTAACCATTTGTGATAGCACAAAGCCATAAACTGATGTGTACAGGCCCATAGATCACAAAACCCAATGTAGCACAAACCCAATCCAACACAAGAAAAAAAAAACAACGAAAAATTTCGTACCAATGCTTAACGCTTTGGAGCACATGGACAAAATATTCATAATCAAGAGATGAACACGTCCAACCATGCTGTTGCATCCTATGAATTAGTACAATGGCAAACTAAGTGAAAGACATTACACTACTTGATTATGAGAGCACTGAAGGGATATCTTCAAGGACAAGGTTATTTCATCTATCTTACCAAACTTTATATATATATATATATATATATATATATATATATATATATATATATATATATATATATATATATGAAAATGGTTCTATACACCTGGAAGTATACACCTGGAAGTATGTACACCTGCTCTTATCCACCGTCGATCTGTGATTAGCTTCGATGGATCCTGATATCGGATTAACGAGCGGACCCGTTTAACTTTTTAACTAGAAAAAAAATTACGTACCCCTTAATCACAGAAACCGGAATGACATGAGCTCGCATAATTCCTCGGTCCCACCAGTGCATCGGATACGAAAATCAGGTCACTGGGAGAGACCGCGATATACCAGAACTCGGAGAAGGCGGCGGCGATTCATCGTCGATTCCGCGACAGCAGCGAGATTCATCGTCGATCCATGGCTGCGTTGCAGGTGACGGCGTGATCCATCGGCGTGGCGACCTGCACGCGCGGCGCGGCGGCGGTGTCGACCGATCGGCAACATCGTGCGGCGGAATTGCAGGTCATCGTCCTCCAAGGCAACGGCGCGACGGGACGGGACTAGTCGACGGTGCGATGCAGCAATAGTTGAACTAACCCAGGCGGCATCAATCACTCGTCGATCTCCCGCAAAGCCTTTTCGAAAGCGACAATGCATGTGGTTAGTACTACTTAATTATTTCTTATGTCGTGTATATCATATCAATCTTATCTTCTTTGCCCAGGCAGTCGTATGGTGCATATGCACACCTCGGAGAGGCTAGTGACGCTAGTCGTCGCTAGAGTCCGCAATATGGTGTGCTTGCACTTGCTCCGATCGAACAATCGGGATCCCAGACGATGGCTGTGCCGATCTCCTGAAATCCATGACGATTGGTTCTTGCTTTTTAGTACATATATATGTTTTTGATGCGAACGGCCGACTGAGGAAATGATGCTGAAATCCTGACAGTAATGAAACCATCTTCGTTTTCTTTCGTTTTTGAAACATTCAGTTCATCCTCTTTATTGGCAGAATAGATCGATCGAGGATATTTGCAGTATATGCAATGCAATGACCATATCGTGCATGTATGTAGCTCCATAATAATTAATTATGCACCCACGCATTTCAGGTTTAGATATATACTACTGGTCTATTTCAGTATATAGCTTATGAAAAAAAAAGAATCGGTATTCGGAAGATCAGTGCCTACTAATTATAGTTCAATGTGATATGTGTGTTTTTCTGCCATGACAAGTACATACTGCTAGTAAATAAAAAAAAGACACTCACTAGAACGGATACCCTCATCTCAATCGGGCACAGCGTCCGTCACAGGCTAGAAGTCACTGATGTGAAGAGTTATCTCAATCGGGCAAACAGCCGTCACGAATGAATATATCTCAATCGGGCCCTAAGTAAAGCCCGTCACCGATAGCTTTGACCCAGACGACCAGTCAAACTATAGCCCGTTACAGATGACCTATCTCTATCAGGCCACAACTAGCGCCCGTCACAGATGACTACTAACCTTTATCGGGCCTAAACTAGAGCCCATCACAGATGATACTCATCTCAATCGAGCCTAAACTATAGCCCGTCATAGATGACTGATGACCTCAATCGGGCCTAAATTAGAGCCCGTCACAGATGACTGCTGACCTCAATCGGGCCTAAACTAGAGCCCGTCACAGATGACTAGTGACCTCAATCGGGCCTAAACTAGAGCCCGTCACAGATGATCTCATCTCAATCGGGCATTTAGTTATGGCCCGTCACAGATGACTATAATCCACAAAAAAAATAAATTTTGTTTTTTGGCTAGCCTCAGGCCTTTGCTAGCCATGCCCGCTGCAAAGATGACAGAAACAAACGCAGATATCCAATATCCCCAACTCCCCAGCATCACCCATTCATACATATGCATTCACATACACAGACATCAACATATTTCACACAACCACACATTCACAGCCATCTCATATTTCACATCCATTCACATATTTCACATCCATTCAAATATTTATCATATTTCACCTGCAAAACCGAGTTAATTGGATCAAATATTTATTTAGCAAGTCTTAACATAAACATATGAAATATATACATAAATATAAGCATCACAGTTACATCACCACAGTTGCATAATAAGTGTTCATCATTGCCTAAACATAGAAGTTCAACATTATTCATCATTTTAGTTTAAGCCTAAACATTCCTTTGGGATTAATTATTTCGCGGAGGATGAAGCTGGCTATCTCCTCGCGAACCTCCTCAAAGCTGGTAGTCAGAGACTTGGTTATTGTGCCCTACATTGTCATAATTCCAGATTAGTTGATCGATCATATATAAGTACTAAAATGTAGTTAGTCTATCACAATTGAGACCACCGACCTCAAACTCAGCCAAAGTCTTCACCTTTTCTCTATACAGAAGTCGCATATTGTGGCACACATGGAATCCGCACTGGTCACCTATTTGTTGCTTCACCGAGAAGTCTTTTTTGTGGATGAGGGTGTCATGTCCTGTCTTCCTGAGGCCTCCTCTTTGCACGTATTGGGCCCACGCTTCATCTATCGCTAGTTGAATTGGGGTCCAATCATATGCGTTCTTATCAATTCTGGAGTTCAGGTAATGACATGTACTCCATTTAGGTGTTATGACCAGAATGATCCAATGGGCACTGCGGCATTAATATAGTGAAAGTTAATTAAGTACTCAAGGAATGTGTCATGCTGTTGTGTATATTTAGTTAACACACTTACTATTGATTATAGGCACACATAATGTACTTCTTGTCTCGGCGGGACCACAAGGTGTCGTAGATGTAGTTGACCATTCCTTGACGGTTATTCTGGAGATTTGTGATAGTGACCACTTGTGGATCAAGGAAGGCAACTTCCGGTGCATGCTTCTGACACCATTGCCAACTTAACCTACACACAGGATCAACGATCTTGTAAGCAAGTTAAACCGATTGTTATTACCAGAATGAGTTGGGCGACAATACTTACAAGGAGTAGCACTTAAGGAGGCTTGTGTCCACCACTCAGAGCCTGTAGAGGTCGAAAAGATCCTTGAAGTCGACCACGATATAATTTGTTGGACCAAGGAAAGGCTTTCCATCGTGCTGTCCAAGGATATTGGTAGCTTTACTTGGCTTCCTGGCGTTAGATTTCTCCATGTAGTATAAGTGAAGGTCCTTGCAAGCGGTGCCCATTGCGGCAAGCACGTCATCTCCAACCAATGGCATGCCTAGTTGGAACTCCTGTGGAGTGACGTATTTCTTCTTGACCTCTTTGCCCTTAGTCTCTTCCTGGCCCTTGCCCAGATCTAGCTTTCTTGGAGCTAGAAGCGAGGCCTGCACCTTTCCTCCCCTTCCTCTCCCCTTTGCTTCGGGTTTATCGAGAGTAATTCTCTGAGGGGAAGAGTGTGCCTTCCTGCTCTTCTTCATCGGTGGGGGTTCATGAATCGCCTTGCTGTCGGCCTCCGTTCGGTCCTCCCCGAAATCCGTGTCGTACTGCAACTGCACATCGTAAGATTGTGCATGACGATCTTGAGCAGGAGGGGCTGAAGGAGCAGAGGCGGGTCTCTTTGGTGGACGACCGCCTGGTGCAGTGGTTGGCCTCGCTGTAACCCTGATCTCAATGAGGTCCTTAGGCCATTGGATGAAGGTACCACGGGCATTTCCTAGTGAGAGGACCTCGTCGTTCGGTGGATACTTCAGAGGGAACAGCTCGTATTCAGGCTTCACCGAGTCGACTTGAACTTTTGCACAGTCGGCCCTGAGTTGCGCTCCATGCACTCTTGTCTCTGGGGTCGGCTTGTACGCAAGTCCCTCGGCTGCTGGAACAGTGAAGATCGGCATCACCCTAACTGTGAGGGTGCAGCTCGTTGGTTCCTGCGATAGATTAATCAATTTTTTTAGAATATTATATATCATATGGATTCGTTACGTCTTTCATGTATTGAGTAAGTTCACGGTTACCGTTATGTGGTCGATGGCGCTGTCGACCGATGTTGGATTTTCCGCCAACTCAGTTGATGCGCAACTGCTGCGTTTTTCGGTGGGACTTCCTAACTCTTTGTGCGCAGCAGTAGCGGCAGCCTGGGGGATCTGTTGCTCTTCTCGGATCTCTTACCTAATCTTGGCCCTCATCGACTCGAGCTTTTCGTCGAATTCAGATGTCAGCTCAGCTCGTATCGACTCCCGGATCTTGGCTTCAAGGCGTGCATCTTTCTTCGCCTTGTTGGAAGTCCGCTTCTTGTACTGCCACGCGTAGTCTGGAAATCCATACTTCCAGGGAACAGAAGACCCAACGCCCCGTGTCCGTCCACGGTGTTCCTTGTTGCCCAACGCTTTCGTGAGGAGGTCGTCCTCGCGTCTTTGAGAGCAGGCCTCTTGCGAGGCTTGTTGCTCGGCAACCAACTCCTTCTGCATTACAATTTAGTGGGGTCAAATAAACTGCACGATGGGAAACAATGCGAACATCTAGTTTGATTA